ATAAAGTTGAGGGACCAAAATGAGCATTTAACCAAAAGAGAAAGGAAGAAGATGAATGTGAGTTTTTTTATTTTATTTTTTTAAAATATAAATAGTAATAATGTGAGTTGACATGAAAAAAAAAGTCCACATCAACACGTTTTCAATTTGTTTTTGCCACATCATCAAAAAAATTATAAAAAATGCCACATAAGCAAGTTAACGATCGAAATTAACAGAAAGACTAACGGAGTGCATTTCATATCGTTGAAGGATCAAAAAAGTGCAAAAAATTGTTGAGGGATAAAAAATGTTCATTTCATAAAGTTGAGGGACCAAATTAAGCATTTAACCTTTTGTGTATTAGACACGGGATCCCTAACCTCACAGGTGGGATGCTAAGAGAAACATGCCCTAGGGCTAGTATCTCTCTAAGGCCACTACATGTTTTCCTAAAGAGCAATAGGTCTTCCCAACTGTTTATCCTTTCGGAATCAATGGGAGATATTTCCAAAAGTTAATACATAAGATGATATTACATCATCAAATGCTGTATTAACCAATGGAAACAACCTAACAAGAATTGATCTTACTCCTCAAAGCAGGAAGAATTGCTCTTCCAAGCCATATTCATAAGGATTCCAAACTAGAGGTTGGGTTCATCTCAGATATAAACCTAATGCAAAATGAGAGTGAGTGTGTGCAAAGGGCATGACAATCCAATAACTTGCACAATGGCAACCACAAAAAAAAAAAAAAAATACCAACATATATCCCGCAGCAAGTAGATAAAGCAAGAAAGTAAATAAAGCATATATAGCACTAAATAGATATAGCACCCACAAACAAACCTATTTACATAATAGGAAGAGACTCACCTAGTACTCCTCTGCCAAATGCAAAAGGTTAGTGATACAAAGCAACCAACACTCAGGATACTACAAGATATAAATAATCGCACAAAAGGGAAGAGACTCACTAAGTACTCCATAGCCAAATGCAAAAAGTGAGTACATCCACACACAAGCAAGTAGGCATGTAAGCATGATGCATGTTGAATAAGCATGTAACATTAATGATGGATGAACATGTGAGATGATATGATGCATAAACATGTGAGCAAGGTATGATGCATGTCAAGGTGTAGCAAGATAATCACTCAAAGGCAAAAACAATAAAACCAACCACCAAAACAACAAGCAAACAAGCAACAAGCAACACATAACACGCAACAAGCGCATGCAACAAACGACAAACACCAACAAAGACTCTACAAACAAAGAAAATCAAAATCTGAAAAATTTCCCAAAGTTAAAGTATTAGCTCGACCCTCATGAACCCAAAATATGAAAACCAGAGATTCAAGGTTCGATCCCCAATGGAATCGCCAATTTGTTGACGACCAACTTAAGATTTCAAACTTTTAAAAAGGAAAGAAAAATAATGAAAGATTAAGTGTGAAAAATATAAAAGAAGGAATCGCCATTTCATAAATTATAAGGTGGGACAAGTCATCTAAAAACAAGTTTACACAGAGATCGGGGTTTGGGGGTTTGGTTAGGAGTGAGGACGGGTATGCACACACCTCACAATCCTCCATTTAAATACAATTACATACTTTAACATTGGGGTTTTAATTCAACTTATTCATTATCTTTACATTTAGATCTTAATAAGCAAGCTTGAAAAATGGATGTACCAAATTGCAACATTTTAAAATTTTTGAACTAAAACGGATAAAATCAAGAACATGCATGCACAATGAGCACAAATAGAAAGTTAAATGGACTGATTTGGTTAAATTACAAATATGAGGGACTGATTTGAAAAGATTTAAAACTTTTGAACTAAATTGCTTGATCATGAAAGTTTTGGGTGAAATTGAAATAAAAGGGAAACAATTTTTAACTTTTTGAACCAGAGGCTTGAATTGAGGTCAATAAAATAATTAATTTACTCTAATTAAAATTAATTAATTTGGTTAATCACAGATTTAAACTAAGTACCCTAATCAATTAATCATTTTATTTATATTTTTTACTTTTCTTTTTTTACTTTTCTTTTAGTTTAGTTTTTTTTTTTTTTTTTTTTTTTTGTTCCATTGGATTGGATCAAGTCATTTTGGCCCAAAAAACACAAAACCATTCACCAAAATATGCGCAAACAAATCAAACACTAGACAGAAATGGAATTTGGGCAGCAACAATATGAAATTTAGAGTTCATTCCAATTGCGTCTCATTTCCAGCAAGAAAACACATTCATAAGGCAAAATAAATTGAACAATCTTTGATTCCCATTCATTTTTCAACAAACATATATAAGCTTTACATCAAATCTAAAAAAAAAAAACCAAAAAAAAGAAACATCAACCAGAAAGATTAAAAAAAAAAAACAAGCATGGCGGATTTTTTAAGAAGAAAACATATCTGGATTTGAAGGAGGAATCCTACCCATGGGATCAAGCGCCATCATCTTTTTCACCATCTTCTTAAAAAAAAAACCTCTGTTTTAGGATTATACCTAGAAAATGCAGCTCTTCATTCTTCTGGAAGCTTGATGATCTTTCTCCCAATGGCCACTTCCCTCAAACAGAAATCCTTCTCCTTCCGACTTTAAAACCCCTTATTTGGTGATGAACGGTGCGTTGGTGGTGATGGTGATGATGATGATGCTGGTGGAGGTGATGATGAGGATGCTGGTGATGGTGATGACGATGATGATTGGGATTGTAATATTCCAAAATTTTTTGAAATACTAGAATTTAAGTTGGGGACTCATGTGGTAGAAATTATTATTTTTGGACCTAATAGCTAAAATTCACAAACTTAAAGGATGTTAAAAGTGAAATTTGGTATTTTAAAAGGGCTAAGGCTGTTTTGTTTTTCCCCAGCCCATTTCTACGTTGTCTTCCCTAGCCCCCACCTAAAACTTGCTTCCCCAAACCCTTGCCTACGCCTAGCACATTCTTGTTGAAAAAATAAGGTGAGATTTAGCATTTTTATTCCTTCTCCAACCACGGGTTAGAGATTAATAGGCTTATGATTCTCAAAATCATGAATAATATTTCAGATTTGGGTTGTCGCACTGTCACGCCCCAAAACCC